GCTTTAACATGAGTATATTATTACTGTTTCTATCCACTTTAATGAAGTTAGATGATTGAACAGGTAAATGAAGATGTTATGTGAAATCTCATGGAGAATACATGGTGGAGAGTGAAATAGTGATTTACGGCTGTTTAGAGTCGGTTAAGACTAAAGGATCATATACTCATAGTAAGGAGATCTTTCATAATGCTTCCAGACACAACTAGACATAAACAAAACCTGGGTCTTGTCAGTGGCAGAAACAACTACTGTTAGTGGAACAAACAACATACCTACTATATAGTGGAACAAAACTACTGTTAGTGAAGAAACAAACAACAACTAAACTAGATATAAGAGTGGAACAAACAACCAACTACATTTAGTGGAACAAACATACTAGATTAAGAATAGGAAAAAACAACACACTATGTTAGGTGAAACAACACAACAACTACTGTATAAAGATGAACAAACAACAACAACATACAATGTATATGGAACAAAAACAACCTACTGTAACAAAAGAAAAAAAATTAGTGACAACAAACAAACTACTGTTAGTGGAACAAAAGACACAAATAAATACATAAGTAATGAAAAAAACAACAACATACTGTATAGGAACAAAAAACAACAACTACTGATATAGGTGAACAAAACAACAACTACTGTATAGTGGAAAAAACACAACAACTACTGTTAGTGAACCATAACAACAACATATACGATCGTAATAGCCTGGAACAAAAACAACTAGTTATGTGTATGAACCTAACACACCAACATACTGTTAGTGGAACAAACCCAAACACACTCATCGAACGTTAGTCGAACAAACCACAATCTACCCTGTTAAACGTCGGGAACACACAACACTCAGTACTGGTTCGTGAACCAAACACACACACTAATCCGTCTACCGCTTGGAACATACACAACTTACATAGAATTACGTGGACGGCAGTTTGTCCTCATGATTCTCTACTCTTCTCACATGTAGTTCTTGTAACAAAACTACGTAATTCTAGGAAGAACGGTCTTACTGGTCGCCACCCCTACCGGTATTTTCAGATACCTCGTGTACGCTCTTCTCAACGGCTTGTAAATGAAATCTTTGTGTGTTACTGGTAATCAATCATCACTGGTTTGGCTTAACGGTTAGTGTTTCCAACAATCACCAGCTCTGGTTTGGTGGAAATAAATCAAACCTTTAAAGCCAATGAGTTTAATAAGTATTAAATATCTGTATTGATCAAACTCAACCCACCCTGCAGAGTTCCAACATGTTCACACAAACACACCTGGAGGTCACCTGGTCTGTGGCTCCACCTGGTGGACGCCAGCGGTACTGCACAGATCAGGACCATTCAAATAACGTGTAAAATATTAAACTGTATTATATCTGATTATATTTTCATAGGATGTTCAACTATTTAATGAGTCATCTGCTGATTATTGATCCATTAATTTATTGATTGATTGCTTTGTACAAATTCTGGAAATAGTGAGAAATGAGTCTTCAGTCCAAACCTCTAATGTTCAGATTATTACAATAAACCAAAGGAAAATGAAACGTTTTAAACTTTACAATGTTTTAAACTCTTTATATGTTTGTGTGTAGAGTCTATAGATTATAAAGTGGTTCTTTATGCAGATCGACTCCTGTTGATGTGAGACACTGTTTTAGCCTCTAGGTGGCGTTATTACACCAGAACTGACTCCTGCAGCAGACACAGTGTTCTCCAGTGTAATAATGTTTATCTGTAAACTTTATAATAAACATATTCAGGTTGAATGAAACAGAAAAGTCTTCTGGGAGTTTGTTCCAGTGGTTCTGGTTCATTTCACACCATTTTTACTGCAGATTGCATAGAGTGTATATATTTTTCATTTATAGTCTTATATTTTCTATTATATTTTGTAATATTCTTATTTTGTGATTCTTATTGTACTTCCACTTCTGTACTCTTTGCACTACATTCCCCTGTGCTGCTGTGTCTGAATTTCTCCTACGGGGATCAATAAAGGAACATGTCTTATCTTCTGCTGTCCCACATTTTCTATTTTATTTGACTTTTATTTCCAGGTTATTTGAATGTTGTTTACAATTCTTGTATAGTTCTTCTTATTTGGCTCCAAAAACAGAACAAATAAAAGTTTAATTTCCACATTAAAACCAGATTTTCATCATTCGAATGCGATCAATACATCATAAGAACAACGTTGAGCTCAGAGGTGTGTGTGTGAGTTTCCAGGTGATCAGGTGACATCTGTCCAGCTGTGTGTGACAGCAGTTCGGGGCAGTTCGGGGTCTTAGAGAGGCCAGTTTATTTCCACTACAGAGACCCAGAGCTGTATTCACTAATTTACTATTCTCACAATCTGCACTCGCCGGCTGGTCGGGGGGGCAGTAGGGGGGCAGTAGAGTAGTAAACAAATGGCTGCAGGAGGATGGAGGCGTTTTGTTTAACTATTTGCTGCTGAACACTTCAGACCTTCTGACTTTATTTAAAATGAATTATTTGAGTCCCAAAATTATTTTAATAACTTTAAATTCTACAGATTTCAATGTTTTATCTGTTATTATTGTTGTT